CGCTCTTCATTTTGCAGGGGTAAGACAACAGCCAACTGACCTATGAGAATTATACTGTGGGGCTTTGTGAGCTGCTTCTGAGAGGTTAACCTGGAAACTAAGCTCAGAGGCAAGGTAATAAAGTGCTTCAGGGCTTGCCTGCAGTGGCCTGAGTTTGCAGGTGGCTCTGTGGCCTCCAGTCCAGCGCTTTCCACTGGGGCAGTGGGGTAGGGTCACAACCCCTAGCTTTTAAGTCATAGAACCATTGGCAGAGACCTTAAGAGTTCCTCAAACCTTTTGGACACAAGGGCCCAGAGGAGGAAAGTGATACTCAAGGTCATAGAGCAAGCTACAGGCATGGCCAGGAGGAGAGTACAGTTCTCCATAGCCATGTGCTGCACTGGCTCAGCAAGGGCTCCAAGTCCTGATGTCACACTTGGAGGCCTTAGCAGTGCTCCCTATCCACAGAGCTTCCTTTCCAAAGCCCTTCCACTGCCCCACATGGAGAGGGGGTTAGTGGGGCCCATTATCTTTAGCAAGATGTTCCCAGGGGTGGTTTGCTGAGAGGACCTATGCCTCAGGGGGTCCCTTGGTATTAGTGATGCTGAAGAAGAGAACATTACTGATTTCTACTTTTCTATAAAAGTATTTCTCTGTGTACATGTTTTATATACCTCATGCTGACACTTGCATATAAAGTACAGGAAATTGCTCTGCATTTGATTTATATAAATAAATTAAAAAAAAAAAAAAGGACTCTACATTGCCAAGTTTTCTGGGGTACTAGGAATACTCTTCCCATAAGTTAGGAAGCTTTTGGCTACCTGTCAATACCTGTGTGGCAGGCTCTGGGCCCCAAAGGAATGACTCAGCCAGCAGGTAGGAGTCAGACGTGCTTTAAGGACTAGGGGGATATGGATGTTCTCTGGAGCAGGCTGGTGTCCACGAAGGAGGGGTGGAGTTAGAGTTAGGGAGCATGACAACTCTGCCGTGGGGAAATCATGTGGCCTGGGCTTGAAAGTGGCCAGTAGTGTTCTAGAAGGGGGCAGACAAGCCAGCAGACCCTCCACAGGTATCTCCCTGAACTAGGCCCCAAGTCACTTTTCACTCTCAGTATCGTCAATTTTATTAATTGCTTAATTTATTTGGTCTGTTCAATGGCCCAGCTTGGGCCCACCACTCCCACGCTCACCGAGGGCACCTGAGGCACAACCAGCCACACAATGCTAATCTTGCTCCTGCTGGGAGCCCAGAGCTCAACTCCACAAGCTTGCACACTCCACACACAGTATGGTCTATATAACATAGCCAGAGATGACATCTAATCCCACAACTCATCAGATCTATGAAGTTATTTCACATATCACCCAAGAGATAGAACAAGATAGTATTAACAGCAATCACTCTCATGGATCACTCCCACCCATCTTCTCCCTCCCACCCCCAATACAACCACCACACATCCCAGTAATAACCCAAACCCATTCCCAATTTGTTAAATATGGTGCAAGCTCAGAGACACTTAGGAGGAGGCAAATCTATTTGTGTTGAGTCCCTGGAGCTCTGGGAGCCAAAGTTGAGGCTGCCCTCAGGGCTTTTCAGCACCTATGGCTGTGGTTTAGGGGGCTGCAGCCAGGAGCTAGTGAGCTAGGCCAGCCAACAGGGGAAGTAGGAACTAGATGGCCCAGCTCAGGGAGCTGTCTCCCCTAGCATCTAAGTTCTGGGACTGCCACCACTTCTTCCTGCCCAAGTTGGTGCCTGGACTGGGTATGAAGGAAGGGTAGACAGTGGCTGCCGCAAGGACAAGAGATTGCTGAGACTGCCACTCCCCCAGCCTCATACACTGGACCTGTGATAAGCCATAGTGTCCTCCAGAACTCATCTAGCAAAATGTCTTGGGCTTCTGACTGACATACCCACCAGGTGTAAGTGACAGCAGCCAGGATATGGGCTTTCTAGAGGGCAGTTTTCTTTCCAGCCCCCAGCCCCTTCCTGCACTGTGGGTGACTTCTTGTTGTGGGCAAGAAGGATGCCACCCAGAAGTTCTCAGCCAGTCTCCAGCAGTACAGTTTGAGAACGAGAGGCGGAAGCTCCTCCTCACATTGATGTGGCCTGGGAGGTAAACGGAAACCAGCCCTTCCTGTGACTCCCAGCCACTTCTACAACAAACTAAGGGACTCTTCACAATCTACTCCCTCAACCCCTGCTCCAGGGGAGGGCGGGACACGGAGTGGAAGAGGGGTAGCACCACTGTCATTTCACATCCTTAAATCACAGCTTGGCCACCAGTCTTGCTCTCATCCACAGTCCCACCTGAAGTCCTCCTGCCCTCAGCTGGACCAGAGACTTCAGAGCCCACAGGCAGGTTCATCCTGGAATCCTGCCCAGCAGGTCCAGGTCATGCTGATTAGTGTAAGCAAGAGCCTCCGGGAAACCCACTGCCCGGGAGTTCCCCAGTGGTCAAGAGAAACAGATTCCTTCTGGCCCAGGAGCCAGGCTTTTTTTTTCTTCTTCACAGCTTTCAGGCGAGTGTTGGATTTATAGACAGTAACCAGGCCCCAGAACTTGTGGAGATACATTTCCCTGGTGCTGCGCCCGCTCGCCTCCTGGGGAGGTAGTAGGGATGGCTTGTTCCGTTCTAAACAAGCCGCCAATCCACAGGAAGCCGGACGGCCCTGCCCATAGCAGGGATGGGGCACAGAGGGGGCAGTGCTGGTTGTGGAACGCCCCCCTGCAGGGGGCGAGGCTGGGGCTAAGGGGGTGAGTCCCGGGTCAGGCCATATTGCATGCTCACGGCATGGTCCAGCTCCTCCAGCTCTGCGGGCAGTGGGATGCCCAGCTCCCCCAGGTACAGGGAGAGGGCCTCGAAGGAGTCCTCCAGTTTCGAGAATGCCGGTCTAGAAAGAAAAGGGGTGAGTTGAAGGCAGATGAAATATGGAGTGCTGTGAAAGGCACCCACCCAGGTCTGTGGCTCAACCACTTCCTAGGTGTGGGACCTCGGGCATGCCCCTTAACCTTGCACCTGTGGGAGATGGGGATAAGGTAATGTTATTGCTACTGCATAAGGTTGCCGTAAAGATTAGACTAACACTGTGAGAAGGCTGGCCTGGCTCCAGAAGGTAACTTAAAAAAAGAAAGTCCAGGAGAGAAAAAAGCTCCTCCTATGTCTTGGAGGAAACACAAGTGTCAAAGATGGGATGAGACTAAGTGCCTTTTTAAAGATCCTTTCCAGTCAGTCCTCAGCCTGTTTCCACATCATTGGATGTGCCCAGGAAGGGGCATTTCATAGACACAGCAGCTCTTCCCAAGGAGAAAGCAAACACCCGGCTCCCACTGCTGTGGAAAAGGCTTCAGTGCCCTGGAATCCTAAGACATCTCAGGCTTACTCCTCCACTGGGTTTTTACTAAAACATCTCAGCCTACTCCGATCGCATTTTAAATTACAACTTGTACCCTAAACAATCCTTTTTCCTCAGCTTTATATTTTTAAATAGCATTTGTCATTTTCTTATATTCATTATGTTTTATTATATGTATTGTTTATCATCTCTCCTTGCTAATATGTGAATTCTGGGAGTGCAGGCACCTTTTTATTATTCACTGATGTATCTCAAGCACTTAGGATAGTATCTAGCACATGGCAGGTACTCAGTATATATTTTTGAGTGAATTAAAAACAGACATTTAGAATGACTGAGAAGGGATATTAGCAAACAAATATTGTGTAGCTTCACATTTTTTTCTCATGCATTTACTCCAGTGTTACTGAAGGACTGCAGTCCTTTGTCCCATGAAGGAACAAGACATAGCGCCTTCCGACTCTATAGTGGACCTTTGGAAATCACTTTAAAATAAAGGTTATGTGTCAACTTTATGTTACTTTAGGGAGATGGAGTTGAGAAATGAGGAGAGCACTGACGGAAACATTGGTTAGGAGATCACAGAGGACGTATACTTCCTGGGCTATATAATTTGTAATGTTTGAATTTGTTTTTTAAAAGAAATATGATTTTTGATAGCAGAAAAAAAGTGCAAATATTTTAGTTTTCTAATGCACAAACTTGAAAAGAACCAGTGTATCTTTGGTGATAAGGAAAACTATAACCTAAGAAGATTAAGCTAATTTTAAAAAGATTTCTTTAGAGAAGAAAATCAGCCCAATGCATGAAGAAGCTCACTGTAGTAATACCTACTATAAAGAGAAACTGGAAAAACCTGAACATCTACACTATGTATGTTACAATACATTTAGAGAGTCTCTTAATAGAATTTCACATAGTCAACAAAAATGATAAACAGAAAGACTGGGTAGTAACAAGGAAAATGCAGGGCAAAATATAAAACTTTCCTCTATTTGAGATCATAACTATAAAAAAATGTGTGTGTGTGGACATGGACAGGAATATGGAGACATGAATATACTTATTCCAATAAAAGAGTATAGGTTTGGGTGAGTTTTCTTCTGTTAAAATTTCTTTTAATGGCTGTGTCTGTGTTATACCAGGTCACTTGCTACTGTGCCCTCGTCTAACCCCCATATCCCCTACTTGGCATGTCAGAGTTATCGGATGCCTTTAGTGGTTGACAGCCAGATCCTTGAGCTCAAGGCTTCTGCCACTCTTGTTCCTGGGAAGAAGAGCTTGGGGATGGCTGAAGGCTGAGGCAAGCATTCCAGAACTTGTGAGCTAGGGAAAAGGGGTGGGATACCAACCTGCTC